GCTTCGATGTTTTGGGAGAAGTGAGCTCCAGGGCGTCAGCGGCCGTTCATGAACCCGCCGAGAGCAGCCTCACCTCGGCCAGATCTTCTGGAATTTGCTGCTGGCTCTGATGTCTCTATAATGGTTAAACATGAGATATAATTAGTTTTGGGTAAATCTAACGGACAGTCGTTGTTCTCATTAATCTTTTTTTTGTATCAGAGCAAACAGTTTTGGCTGAAGGCAAAGTCTCATAACTTTAAATTTAATGCTGAATATCAGAGCGCTGCCTTTGTACTTTTGACTGAATTGCTTAGCAACTTTCATGATGGCTGTTGTTGTTTATTAAATATGATTATTCAATAAATCATATTTTATATAATTAAAAGTAGTATTTGATATTGAGAAGCGGCCTGTTTAGTTACATTGTTCCACCTTTAGATGGCGACAAGAGACTGTTTTTCTGAGTGAGTCCTTAGTAAAGACTTTTATATTGAAAGAGACTGAAACAGGGTTGTAAACAAGGACGTTATTTTTACTTTTAATAACAGCTTGTAAGACGCAGTTAGCAAATGCAGTGAGCAGCGCTGTCATCGGAAATCACCCTTAACAGATTATTTTAATAAACTAAAGAAAACAAGTAGAATATTAATAGAATAGAGAGTGCTAGTGATAGAGGGTCTATCATACTAGTATTTGTTGTACTTTGTTTATGCTGATGACAGCGTCACTGTAAATACAGTACAGCGAGGCATGTTTATGTGAGCTTAAGTGCAGCTGTCAGCTCCAGTGAGGATGTAAAGTAGAATGACGCTGTGTTTAAGAACAGCAGACGGTGTGGAGATGTGTGGATACAGACATACTGAACATATAGTGTGCAGAAAAGTGACAGAATGTATTGCATCCTCATCGTGCACATGCGTTCACTCTCCAGAATAATGCAAAACATGTAGATACACTACCAGTCAAAAGCTTTCGAACAGTAAGATTTTAATTTTATAATTTTTTTTGAAGAATTCTCTTCTGCTCACCAAGGTTGCGTTTATTTGATCAGAAATACAGCAAAAGCAGTAATATTGTGAAATATTTTTACTTTTTAAAATAACTGCTTTCTATTAGAATTCCTGTGATGCGCAGCTGTATTTTCAGCATCATTACTCCAGTCTTCAGTGTCACATGATCTTCAGAAATCAGTATAATATGCTGCTTTGCTGCTCAAAAAACATTTATTATTATTATTATTATTATGTTGAAAACATTTTGATGAACAGAAAGTTCAGAAGATCAGCATTGATCTGAAATAGAAATCTTTTGTAACATTATAAATGTCTTAGCATCACTTTTGATGAATTTAAAGCATCCTTGCTCAATCAAAAAATATTAATTTCTATAATTCCATCCAAAAATGATACTTACTCCGAGCTTTTGAATGGTAGAGTGTATAATGTTACGAAAGATTTTTATTTCAGATAAATGCGGATCTTTGGATCTTTCTATTCATCAAAGAATCCTGAAAAAACATTGATCTGAAATAGAAATCTTTTGTAACATTATAAATGTCTTAGCATCACTTTTGATGAATTTAAAGCATCCTTGCTCAATCAAAAAATATTAATTTCTATAATTCCATCCAAAAATTATACTTACTCCGAGCTTTTGAATGGTAGAGTGTATAATGTTACGAAAGATTTTTATTTCAGATAAATGCGGATCTTTGGATCTTTCTATTCATCAAAGAATCCTGAAAAAAATTACGCAACTGATTTAAATTTCAATAATAATAATAATAATCAATGTTTTTTGAGCATCAAATCAGCATATTAGAATGATTTCTGAAGGATCATGTGACACTGAAATTCAGCTTTGATCACAGAAATAAATTACATTTTAACAGATGTTCAAATAGAAAACAGCTATTTTAAATAGTAAAAATATTCCATAATATTACTGCTTTTGCTGGATTTCTGATCAAATAAATGCAGGCTTGGTGAGCAGAAGAGACTTCTTTAAAAAAACATAAAAAATCTTACTGTTCAAAAACTTTTGACTGATATAGTGTATTTACATATATATATATATATAGTGTATATATAAAAACAATGGAAGTCTATGTTGTGTCTCCATTCAGATGCTCGGTAAATGTGTGCGTGCATGTGTCTGTGTTTGTGTGTGTG